GGCGTCTCCTGTTAGTATGGGATTAGCCCGAGGTGATATAATGTATAGGCCTGTTGGGTTCAGGGTCTTTCATCTTTCAGCTGCCTGCGTGCATGTTGGAGATGCAAGATACCTGAGCGTGTAATGTTAATTTTTACCTGTGTTCATTGAATAAATCAGCACTGTTTTGAAGCTACTTGGAATGCCTCGTCTCTCAGACTTAGCATGGTAAAAAAAACCGACTGCAAAAACAGCAAGACTCAGCAGCTTCATCGTGCCAAAAAGGAGGCTTACAGAAGTGGGGACAGGACTCTGTACAGCCAGGCAAGGAACACATTCACAAGGGAGATCAGAGCAGCAAAGAGGAGCTACTCTGAAAAGCTGAAAGCTCAGGTTTCAGCCAACGACCCCTCGTCTGTGTGGGGGAGCCTGAAAACCATCACTGGCTCTAGAAAACCATCTATAGCCATCCTATGTGGAGGACCATCAACTACAACCTGAATGTGTTCTACTGCAGTTTTGACAAACAACACTCCCCCCCTCACCCTCCCCACCTCAGACCCAGCAGCTGCTCCCCCGACAATCACCATCCTTCCCTCTAGCCCCCCACCTCTAACGATCTGTGAAAGGATGTGTGGCCTCTCTAAAAGACAAAAGATCAGCAAGGCACCAGGCCCAGATGGTGTGACCCCCTCCTGCCTGAAAGTGTGTGCTGATCTGGCCCACACCTTCACACTTATCTTCAGCATGTCACTGGAGCTGTGTGAAGTCTCCTCCTGCTTCAAACGTGCCACCATTATTCCAGTCTCCAAGAAAACCTCCATCAGTGGAATGAATGATTATGGAGCTGTCGCCCTGACATCTGTAGTTATGAAGTCCTTTGAAAGACTGGTGTTGGCCCACCTGAAGGACACCGTAGACCCCCTGCAGTTTGCCTACCGGGAATGGAAGATGCAGTGAACATGGCACTGCATTACATCCTGTAACACCTCGACTCCCCAGGGACCTATGCACGGGCCCTCTTTGTGGACTTCAGTTCAGCGTTCAACACCATCATCCCAGACAGCCTCCAATCCAAAGTGACCCAGCTCACTGTGCCTGCCCCCCCCTGTCAGTAGATTACTAGCTTTCTGACAGACAGGAAGCAGCAGGTGAGGCTGGGGAAAACCACATCCAGCACCGGCACCCCCCCAGGGATGTGTGCTCTCCCTTCTGCTGTTTTCACTTTACACCAATGACTGCATCTCGAAGGACCCCTCTGTCAAGCTCCTAAAGTTTGCTGATCATACAACGGTCATTGGTCTCATCCGAGACAGTGATCAGTCAGCCTACAGACAGGAGGTTGAGCAGATGGTCCTGTGGTGTAGCCACAACAACCTGGAGCTGAACACGCTCAAAACAGTGGAGATGACAGCGGACTTCAGGAAGAGCCCTCCCACCTTACCCCCCTCACCATACTTGGCAGCACTGTATCAGCAGTGAAGTCCTACAAGTTCCTGGGCTCCACTATGTCCCAGGACCTGAAGTGGACATCCAACATCAGGACCATCACCAAGAAGGCACAGCAGAGGATGTACTTCCTGCGCTAGGTCAAGAAGTTCGACCTGCCCCAGGAGCTGCTGATACAGTTCTACAGAGGAATCATTGAGTCTGTTCTCTGCACCTCCATCACTGTCTGGTTTGGCTCAGCAACCAAACAGGACAAGTACAGACTTCAGTGGACGGTCAGGACTGCAGAAAAGGTCATTGGTGTAAGCCTGCTCTCCATGGAGGACCTGTACACCTCACAGGTCAAAAGGAGGGCGGAGAGGATCACTGCAGACCCCTCACACCCTGGACACAATCTGTTTGAACTCCTCCTCTCTGGAGGGCGTCACAGGTCACTGTGCACCAAGACAACCAGGCACAGGGACAATTTCTTCCCCAAGGCTATCACTCTGAACACTTGACTCACAATAGTATGACAGTATGACTAGACAATAACCCTCAGAGAAATACCTATAAATGTACATTGTACAGATTGTTCAGAGGTAAAAATAGACAGGTCTCTTTTTAAGTACTCTCTAAGAAATCACAATGAGCATTTCTAGTCTGTCTGCATTGTTTACTGCCTGTTTATACAGCGTATTTTGTTATATTACACAGCCTTATGCTGGATTACTGTTTACTTGCCCCTTGCATGGGGATATGTACATACACATTGAGAGCCAATGTACCAGAGTCAAATTCCTCGTGTGTCCGACACACCTGGCACACCAGATTTTGATTCTGATGCAGTTTCAGTTTTGGTTCTAATGATTGATGGTTGTCTCCACAAGAAAGGTGACTGGGTTTTAATATAAAGTGAATGATTTTTTTATTTTTATTTTTAAGAAAGTCTATCTTCTGCCTTGTAGACTGCTGTATGGAATGTCCAGTGTGCAAAGAGGACTTCGTAGTGGGAGAGCCAGTCAGACAGCTCCCCTGTAACCACTTCTTTCATTCAGACTGTATAGTACCATGGCTGGAAATGGTGAGTAAGAAAGAAAGCAGAAATTAAAAGGGTTAACTCATGAGCTAGCTCCTCAGTGACATGTAGTGGTGTGCTTATGTGCATTTAGACCTAAAAGATATTTCTTTGGATATCTGGTAGTTCATATAGAAATCGAGGCAAAGCAGAAACTTCACCCACTGCCAGGGCGCATAGATGGGGGGAAAAATGAACTGAAAAGGTCAAAAATCCAGCAACAACTCCATTGTATAGAATAACTTTTAAAGTTGTTTTCTAAAGAAATGTAAATTAAAGGGTGAGACTATTGTCAACAAATGGAAAAATAACTAAAACCAACTATGTATTGAAGACAATTCACTGACACAGCTCCTAAATATATGTATTTTCATTTTAAAAAAGCTAATTAATGTCAAACAGCTGGACACTGTACTCCTTAGCAAACATTACTCAAATAGGCATAAAATTTGCAATTTATTGGGACTATATTTGCAGATTCATCATAATTTCGTTGTGGCCCTATTGTGCAATGACAGTTTATTCTATTCTATTTTTTGTGCTAGTCAGTGTTTACTGCAGCAGAATCATGTACAATTGCAAGAAAAGCAATGGACATTTTCAATTTCCTGGTTTTCTGCATAAATTGGTCATAAAATGTGTAAGGTAATAAGGTGTAATAAGTCACACATACCAACAGCCAAAATGTTTCTAAGTTGATAAAACACAAACAGTCCTGAGCTTTCATGTCTTTATTGATCACACCCATTAAACATACAAAGTGACTGTGGAAAATGTAACACTAGGCTTTTAATGTCACTAAATGTCAGCTGGAGTCAGGTGTTACCAAACCTGGAGTCCACTCAATGAAAGGAGAGTGGAGGTGTGGTTTAGAACAGTATTGACTTACAAAAACTCTCAAACAGCGTCAGTGTGCTATTCTCAAGCAGCATCAGCTGATGTGAGACACGCCTCACAAACAAGATCTCAGAAGATCTAAGATCAAGAGTTGGTGATTTGCATGTAGCTGGGTTAAAGAGTCATCTCCAAGACTTTAGATATTCATCAGTCCACAGTTGGACATATTGTCTGTAAATGGAGACAATCTGGTGCTGTGGCTACTCTCCATAGAAGTGGGCGCCAAGCCGAGATCACACCAAAGGCACAAGGCAGAACGCTCAGTGAGGTCACTACAGCACACCTGAGGTTTGCCAAAGACCTCCTTGATACTGCACAACACACTATTAGGAAAATTTCCTGTAGACAGATGAAACAAAGGTAGAACTGTCTGGGAAGAACACACAGCACTATGTATGGCGTAAAAAGAGAACCGCATACCAGCATAAAAACATCATCCCAAAAGTGAAGTACGGTGGAGGGAGCATTGTGATTTGGGGCTGCTTTGCTGCCTCTGAACCTGGACCACTTGCCATTGTAGAGGGGAAAATCAGTTCCCAAGTTTATCAAGGGATCCTACAGGATAATGTCAGGGTGGCTGTCTGCAAGGTGAAACTCAGAGCAAGCTGGGTGATGCAGCAGGACAAATGACCCTAAACGCTGAAGTACAGAATGGCTTTGGAGACAACCTCTGCCTTTTGGGGTGGCCCAGTCAGAGCCCAGACCTCAACCCAATAGAGATGTTATGGAATGATGTCAAGAAAGCCGTTCACACCAGACGTCCTAAGAATATGGCCGAGCTGAAGCAGTTCTGTGAGGACGAATGGTCCAAAATTCCTCCTGAACCTTGTGCATGTCTAATCCATGGCTAAAGGAAGCGCTTGCTTGAGGTTACTGCTGCCAAAGATGGTTCAACCAGTTATTAAAACACTGTTGCCATTACTTTTTCCACCATCATTTTCTGTGTTTAATGGGTGTGTTCAATAAAGACATGAAAGATCATGACTGTTTGTGTTTTATCATCTTAGAAATATTATTCATATTTGTGACTTTGGTGACGATCAGATCACATTTCATGACCAATTTATGCAGAAAACCAGGGAATTGCAAACTGTACCATTACTGTTACATATTTTTTTTGCAACTGTATGTGGGGTTCACTTTTTGGTAATAAACTAACGTGTTGCTAAGTACAATGGTGCAGCTCATTAATGTGTTCTTAAAAGTAGATGCAGAGCATTGAAGCTAAATGCAGGGCTTAAACCTGTATGTTACATATTCCCTTTATCACTTCATGGTTACGTTTGTAGGGGCATATCAACAGAAAACATAATTTTGATAGTAGAAAGTTTACCTGTTTCTGCTTGTGCTAGGACCCCCTCCAACATCCCAAAGTAAGAGCTGGTATTTCTTTTCTATAGGTCAGTCACAATATTCATCAGTGTTTCAAGTTCTGGGTCACAAGTCAATGCTGTTGACATGTGGAGTTTAGGCGTCCTTGGTGTGAATTACGTTTTAATATGGATTTAAAGGATAAGGCCAGTCATTCTTTATATTAATGGTATTTTCAGCAAACTCCATACAGAGACTAAAACTAAGTGAATTGCCTCTACTCATGCTAAATGTCTCTCAGCTGTCAGTCCTGGATTATCTTGTTCGTCTGTGTAATAGACCGCCGTCATCGTTCAAAAATGATTAAAAGCACATCAGGGAAACACAGAGCTGCACTGGGTGACATGGTTTTTCCATTATGAAACACCAGACCTGACTATGTTGCCCCAAAGTCTCCCAGTAGCCATAATTTCCTGAAATTAGCATGAGTCAGACTCAACTGTGTATGTGTGAGATCTTGCACAAGCTCTGTGCTTTGTTTACATTCCATTAGCAACTCACAGTCAGGTCTGGGGTTTGCTAATGAAGAAACGTGTCACCCAGTGCTGGGTAGCGTTTCATTTTGTTTTTAAACAACAATGGAGGTCTATGGCATAGATGAATAAGCTGATCCAGGACAGACACAATAATGGACATTAAAAGTGAGTAGAGGCAGTTCATTCTTGGTTTTAGTCTGTGTATGGGGAGTGTTGAAAACACTTGATATAGAAAACGACCAACCTTATCCTTTGAAAGTATGTTTCTGTAAGTAGAGCATTTGGCCATTTATAGCAGTACCATGTGTGTCCATGTTTATAAAAGGGATGGCAAACAAGGCAAAGAGTTAGAGGTGAAAGTCATAGCAACCAAATTGACTTAAAAAAGCACACTTGTTAAAACTCTAATGCTAAAACTGCCCAAAATTAATATTGTCCACACTCTGTTCTGTGGCCACGCAGCATGACACATGTCCAGTGTGTAGGAAGAGTTTGAATGGAGAAGACAGCAGCAGCCAGCCCCCATCAGAGTCCCCGTCCCTCTCCATGGACCCCCGCACACAGGAAAGATGGTCCTTCTGAGACACCCACCTGTTTCATCCCTCAGTTCTCCTCACCTACATCCAACAACACACCGAGAAGACAAACACTTCTCACTTTCCTCTGTTCATTTATGTTGCAGTCAATCATATCAAATTTTTTTTTTTTTTTTTTTTGTATTTTTATTTTTTATTTTAATGTCTCTCTTCTCAGCCATGTTTGCAGTTATCCCATACAGATGTCTTAATAATCACTGGAGGTCTATTAGATCTCTTTTTGCCTAAAACAAACCAGCCTAGAATTTTAATGATCAAAATTATGTCTTCTCCACTTCAACTTCTAGCAAACTCCTTTCCCGTCATTCTTGAAATGCACTACTGCTATACCCTAATTTGGGAAATGTCAGACCTTTCCTCTTTTTGTTCACCTGGTGATTTGCTGAAACCTGTACCTGAGCCCTGTATGGTGTATCACAATACTGTAGGGATTCCTTTGACTCTTGGCATTTACAGAGGCAGGAACTAATGACATGAACACCCACAGCCTTGCAATAAAAGTTATGTTTATCAAGGTTACAATCTGTCAGGAAGATATTGGTTGAACTCTAGTTATTTATTCTGGTGGTGTTTTGTTGGATTGCTTTGCAAAGGTGCTCGTGTTATTGCCTGCCTCGTGTAGTGCACTTCAACATGAGTATTTTGTAGGAGTCATGTTGAGTCGCTGCTGTTTAATGGCCTCAAATGGAAGCTGTGATGTTGAATGAAAGCAAAGGAACCCTTACACCTTTCAGGGCTCTTCTCCATCTGGAAAAAATTTTAATGATGCCCTGCCCATTATTTAATACTTTAGACATACTTCCCCTGGTGTATATACTAGAAACAGATGGCATCCCTCTGTCATTTTATTTCTGTTTTACTTTCCAATTTTTATCACGTTTTTATGTAAATAATTTTAGTCCAACAACTAATGGTTTGCAAAAGAAAAACATTGAGAATGGAGACAAATGTGAAAAACCTGGTTACCAGACTGTATATTATATATATGGAAAAATGTCTATGGTGTATTAATAAATTGACAGAAAATAGTGTAATTTCTTTACTCACAATCTTTTTAATGCGAGTGTTATTTTTATATCCTGCCTGCACATTAGACAGGACGTAATGATTAAATTAGCATCAAAAAGCATTTACAGACTGTACATTATATTTTTTTCAGTGACATTCATTAGTTTCTATTTAGCATTTCAGATAAGAATTGGTGCATTAAAAGACATTTAAGGATTTTAAATAAAAAGTAAATTAGTTGATCAATCCCACTCCTTTAGAAGCCAATATCTCTTCACTGCTGTTCAATGAGTTTGGGTCACAGGAGGCTTCGAGAGCACCTCTCCACATTAAGACAAGTTCTGGAGCAGATTTGAACAAAGTTACATACTGTAGTTTTGAGTACTGAAATCAGTGCTGTGTAGAATAGTACTATACAAGTGCAGCAATTAAATTAAAAATGTATGTTACTCAAAGTATTAACTGCTTTAATGACAGGTTCCAACACTGAAACCTTACTTTCTGTGGAATGTGCAAAAACCTTTGTGCTGTGGTTCATGTTAAACAAATGTGTGTCAGACTTGCATTAATGATCAGTGTGTGTTCCAAGCAAGTGTGAGCAACGAGTGAGCTGGAGCAGAGGAGGGTATGTAGCCCACAGCAGGATCCCACA